CATTCATCTTTGTAATGATAATCACTAATACATGTTCTCATAAACTTATTGACCTAACGAGCAAATTAGAATTTTCACTATATTGCAATATTCCTATTAAAATTGACTAAAATGTACTATTATTAGATAGTTTACAAATGTGTTACTAAAACATGAACAGTAATCACATTATTTTAAATCTAAAATTATTAGATCTGTGTTCATTAAATGACAAAATCTTGTCTGTTTTCTTAACCTTTATATGCAATATACATTAGAAACAAGTTTACGAATACATGAGCGATAATCACTTTTCGATTATTAATATCTAAGGTATATCTAAATGCATTTGACATTAGACGACATAGATGAGTGTAAATAACTGGGTTACAATAATAACTATATATATATATATATATATATATATATATATATATATATATATATATATATATATATGCTAGAACAGGTCAGAGGTCAAAAGGAATTAATTCGGGTTGGGTGGTGTAATAATGGAATTGAATAATCATAAGATAGGTTACGTAATAATAATTAAATAGAATTTGAAAAGTTAAGATAATGTAGGAGGATCAGGTGGTGGAAATGTGTGAATAAAAAGTTGGTTTAAGAATTATGTAATAGGAGAGGAATATAAATATTTTAAAATAAATAAAAATAAAATAAAAATAATAATAATAATGATAAAGGGTTACCAGGGTAGTGATAAGTTAATTAAAGTCTCTTTTTGAATGCACAAGTCAGGTTTAAGTTTTTTGATCATAATAGCTTCAGCAAAACGGAGGGTGGTCGTACTTCTTTGTCTATTAACAATTTTGAAAGCATGAGGAATGTCGATGGTGTGCCCGGTGTCAAGTAGATGTCGAGCTATTGCACTGTTGAAAGCCATAGTCCCACGAAGCCTCAAGTTTTTTGGAACATGCTCAGAAATGCGGACATGCACTCTTCTCTCAGTTCTTCCAATGTATGTGTTTGGCACGTACATGTAAATTGGTAGATGCAGTTGGAGCTATATATATAGTTATTATTGTAACCCAGTTATTTACACTCATCTATGTCATTTGTTTTCACTCTATCTCAATGTAAAAATTCTATCACAATGTTTGGTTTGTAAGCAGCTGACGAGAAACCTCGAAATAAAATGAATTCATACTATTCTGCATCAATATTTGTTCTTGCTTTATTTAAAAACACAGTTGGCAAGCATGTTTGAAAACAAAACATTAAAAACAACTGACCATTGTGTAACTATCATGTTCATAACTTGCGAATCGAATGACGAAGTTTCGGGATGAGACATCACTAGAACGATTCCGCACATAGATCGGATGTTGAATTTCTGTAGTAGTTCATCAAAGTGCTTGAGAAGTTACGTACTAAATAATATAAATAAAGCCAGAACAAATATTGATGCAGAATAGTATGAATTCATTTTATTTCGAGGTTTCTCGTCAGCTGCTTACAACCAAATATATATTAGAATTTAACATTGAGGCAAGAAATAGTATGAAACAATTGACATGACAGAAAGTAAAGAATTGGAATGACCTAGATTATCAATAACAACTGTATATATATGTATATGCAAGAACTGGTCAGAGGTTATTTGCTGTTAGAATCAAGGAAACACTAAGGATGGGTGGTGGAATAGTTGAGTGGTGTTCAGAGACAGATAAGATAAATTGTGTGATGATTTTAGAGGTAGTGAAAGATTCATGGAATTAAAAATTGATAAGATGCGTTACATAATAATTGAATAGAATTTGAAAAGTTCACATAATTTAAGAGGATCAAGTGATCGGAAATGTGTGAATGAAAGGGTGGTTTAAGAATTCGGTAATAGGAGAGGAATATAACACAAACTAAATATTTAAAAATAAATAAATAAATAAATAAAATGACACAAATAACCAACAAAAAAACAAAAACGAAAAAATTGGGTTACCAGGGTAATAGTAAGCTTATTACTGTCTCTTTTTGAATACATAAATCCGGTTTGAGTTTTTTATCGCTATCGCTTCACCAAAACGGCGAGCAGCCGTACTTCTTTGTCTGCTGGTAATTTTCAAAGCATGCGGAATGTGGACACTTGACACCGGGATACCATCGATTATTCTTATTATTATTATCGATAACCTTTGTCATTCCAATTATCATTACAAATCCGAAGCGATCGGGAAATGCTCGTGCATAATTTCCAAAATCATCACAATAAGCAAATATCAAACTTCTACTGATCAAAATATTCATCTGAATAGAAATGCAAAGACGTTCTTCCTTCTGTAGAGTATTACACGTTTATACCGTATTGAAACCATACTCAAGAAAGAAAATAGCTTTTCAACTAGTCCACAAATTTCTAACAGTTACAAATGAATTAACCGTAAAACACTTTCTATACCAAATCTATCCACACAAAAGTTTAACAAAAGCAATATGAGAATCGAGAATCCTCTCACTAAACAATTCAATCAGAAAGATATTACAATTTACATTAACTCCGCCTGGAGTTATCACATATTTTTCGAGCACACGGTTTACTAAATGTTATCCAAAATGTTTCGATGAATTCCGTGTGGCAGACAGAATAAACAAATGATTGAACAACTCAAAGAAATATTAAGAGAAACAAGTGTCGCATCGGAATAGACGATCAATCAAATGATGTTCGACAGATCATATATAAAATTACCAAGTTGAGTAATTAAACAAGATTTGAATTCGATTATTCAATAATGGTGGGGAATTTCTGTTGAATATTGGTTAACTATATCCAACAGTTACCAACTAACTCCTGAACACATCAAAACAATTGTTGTCTCTAAACTCATGACAACCCAGCTAACAATTACAATATGTATAATATCTTATTACCACCTATAGATAAGACGCATGATAATGCGTTGCAAGAGTCAATTTGTCAGGGTACTTACACACAATCTGTGATGGTAATATACAAGTAGATCCAAACTTACAGAAATGTGCTTGATGAATTCATAAGAAATCATTCTGATTAGATATCCATCCTATTTGTTGTGCATTCATTCGTTAACCATCTATCACAGTGGATCCACGACTGCCGAACATCAACCTGTCTCCTTATCATTATTTCGCATTTATAAATAGTCTCACCACCGATGAACACTATGTTAAATCGACAATTTACAATTCTTAATGTCTCATCGGTTGAATTTCTTAATTTCCACTCCCGATTGCATTTCAGTCAAATATTCATGTTGTGACTTTATGGCCGGCTAGTTATCACGTGATTTATCCACCAGTCAAAATACGACTTATACAATCTTAGCACTGTGCCAAACCAATGTCGTTCGGCGGGTATGGGCAGCCTAGCGTCCTTATTGGTCCTATGTCCGCCTAGCTCGTCCACTTGAGTCCAGAACACCAATACCATCTTCCACTATGCCAATCATATATTTCAAACATACTGTATTTATATATCAAACAAACAGACTGCAACGCACCACAAAATAGGAAATAACATTTGTACACAATAAAGCCAAAAAGTGGCTGTGAATGTGGGAGGCAGTAGTTAATAAATTGAACATAGCTTAAGGACCGTAAATCGTACAATAATAATATATAGGTCAAAATAAAGCTTATGACAAGGGGAATATAGATATACATAATCTAGTTACTGAATATTTATACCATGAGAATATATAAATAATAATAGTACATTAATAAGTCTCAGACGTTACTCGCAACGTAATCTTCACTAGGATATAACAATTCACATATTCATGTAAACCACCGAAGTATGCACCACACTTCCACAATTTTACCGCTCCATTATACAACTTACTACACATAAGTTCGATCAACACATCTTGACAATATACGCTTAAATCAATATAACTGAGAACTCGTTCATTATGTAAAGTCGTCACGATTCCTAAATGATCAATCACTAGCAATTAAGATTCGACATGTGCACCTCAATCCAAATGACTGATAACCTAAGGATATTATCAAACTAGTTGACTTACGAACGAGAAAACATCGTCGAACAAATCACACATTCAAAAACAATTCTAACAAATCGTTCTCTAAATCATATTCGACAAAATATACAACAGTCAACTGTACAAATGTCCACATACACGTTGAACACGAAATAAAACTCAATCATCAGTCAATTATTCTATTCTATTCTACCTACTCCTCATGATTCCTCCACCATTAACTAGGACATAGTTGAAATTGTGCAGAACAGGCAATGAAGGTTTACACAAATGCTCTGTGAATAAGTCATTTCACAAACAAGTTAACAGGAAACAGAGTGAACCTATTCGAAAACAAAGATCAACATTACTATTATTAATATTATTATTATTATTATCATTGACATCATCATTCAAATTAGACCGTTTATTCTCTCCTATCTCCGTCACATGTGGTCATCAAGAATTTCACATTGACATCAACTCTACACATATATCGAATATGTATCATAAATGAAATATCAATGAAGCAGTTAATTACACAGAAATCACTAGAATAAATACAAATCAAACCAATTGATCATCATGATAAGAAATAAAATTGACAAAGTTCTAACATATTTGTATTCAAAGTCAAGTATCATCCGTCATCCACACAACCAATTGTCCATGACGTTCATAAATTAATTCAAAGACAAAATAAGAGTTTTACAAAACCAACATTTAAATTTAATTATGTACAGTATGCAACAGAGTAGTCAATAGAGTAGTGAACATTTGAAACAGAGCAGTATTGAACAACAGTCCACTTCAAATGGATTCGAAACAAAATGACTAACTGACAGACAACATCACACAGACACAGACACACACCACGAATAGACAATAATGATGAAAAGGGAGAACAATCTTCGTCAGTCACAATACCTATACATACATATGTATAAATTGAATTTACAATTGAATTTACTATTCATATGTGAATAGAATTGATGACAATCACAATGGTAGTTCATGTGAAGATTGGCTTTCACCAAACATTCAGCTTTTCGATGATGAATTCAGTTTCTCGGACCAATATTGCTTCTTCATCTGGAGAATTTCAATCTTCAGATCTAGACACTTCATTTGCTTGTGAATCAACATCTCTGACAATGGGGTTCTGTCACATTCGGATCTACAAAAACAAGTCACAGTTTGAACATCTGTTTATAATCACTAGGGCGATGTAGGAGACATGATATACATATGCTTATATATACATAGAAGTCGTCGCATATATCCTAATCATCAAATCTACTACACCATATACACAACTGACAAACACAACTAAATAGGAATTTTCACTCGATACCCCCCATATTCAGTAAGGATGCACACGCACACATACACAGGCACACCCCATATTAACGACAATAATCAAGATATTGAGTGACGCACAACGTGGGACGAAGACACTTCAGTGAGATAGAACACCATTGAACGTAAGTGAACAGAGTACTGCTTATTTGTCCGTCCGTTTTTCTGTCTATCTATTAGTCTATCTATCCACCTACCTCGTCGTGTGGTTCACTCACTGCTTGTGTGAATCAAATCCTACTGCTAAGTCTCGTTCTCACAGAGCTACAGTGACAGTCATGGTCATAAAAATCAGTGCACATTCTCATGATCACACAGCAAGCAGTGTGTAGCAGTCAGTTAGCTAATCAGGATTACGTGGTGCTGGTGGTAAGAGTATAACAACAAAAACAACAACAACAACAACAACAACAGGAATAACATAAGGTGAAACGTGTCAGTTGAAAAGAGGTGTCCTACTTACGTGATACAATCCTTGGCATTTTCACCAAAATCATTCACGTCATTCGTGTTCGCCTGATTTCGCGTTCCACTCAACTCTGAACAGCTCTCCTCGTCCTCACTCCACGTTGATAAATCAATTGTTGCAGTCAGAGGAATGCGACTCGTTTGGTTGGATGGTGAGTTCGAGATATTCACTTCTTGAATAGGAGATACGTCTGCAGTATGGGTTTTCGCGACTCCGAACGAGACACATTGGAGAGGAGTCAGTAACGCGACTCGGTTAGGGTTAATCGCCACCTCACCAACCGTGTTGTTGTTGTTGATGGTGGTGGTGGTTGGTTGCAGCACTCCGGCATCATGTGGAATCACCAGTTGTTGAGACATGTGAGCTGTTGAGAATGCGTTCAAGATTTTTGGACCAGTTGTGTGTGGAGGATTCGGTTGCACATGGTTTGTAGGAGGACTGGGTGTTGATATGGGATGTTTGGAGGTGATGATTACCACTGGTGAGGGGGTGAGTGTAGGCAAGTTGATTTGATGCACACTCGACTGATTCTCGGTCACCTGAATTCGATGAAACAATTAGCACATGATTGGGAAAGGCGAACTTACCGAATCACTTTGTCCGTTCACGTTCATGTGTCGATTTTCATTGGAACTGGAGAGTGACGTGTGGTTGGAGGGATTTTCAGGTGAATCGGGATTGTTTTTCGACACCTCCCACTGATTGATTGTCGTGTTATCGAGTTTCTTCAGCATGTGCAGACCCTTTCGACGCAGATGAGTCCAGTTTCTTCTCGGCCATCCCTTCGAGTGTAGGTAACGTGCGAATTGCATCCACAATTGTTTCTGAAGAACTGCAGATGGACGACTCTTGTCTTTCCAAACATCCCGATATCTCAATACCAATTCGGTTAATTCACTCGACTCCTCAGTTGTGTATCGTGTGACTGTGGTCTGTTTCGACGGTGTTAGTGTTGGTGTTGATGGTGGTCTTGATGCACTAGCTGACTTCCGAGCTGTACTGATCATAATCAAGCAACCTGTTTTGTGGTTGTGAAATGAAGAGAAATAATATTTTGAATGAGGGTGTGAGACAGACAGGTGACACGTTGAGAATTTTCTACCACCAATCGTATATCCTATGCACTGAATTACTATTGGTTGACTGTTGTTAGCTTGTTGGTGATTTAGTAGACAGTCAGGTAATGCTTGTTGGTTTGTGGTGTGTGGTGTGTAGTATGGAATGTCAGTTGTGTTTGCTTAGTTGTGTCTGCTTGCTTGTGTCTGCTTGCTTGTGTCTGGTATCTGTATTGTATTTGGTCACTGGTCTGCATGCTTGATTTAACGTGTCTCATGTGTGATTGGTTAGTCAAACATTCGTGATTTCGATCTCGTCAAAATACTCACGCATTCTGATGCGCTTATTCCTCGAACAACAGTTCGATGATGAACATTAAATTTGAAGACAGATTTAATTTACACCTTAGTTTTCTGTCAACTATCAATCATTTGCCCGTTTCAATTCGATAGTTGTTGGAAAATCTTACCAGCAATTTGTCTGTATGTTGATTCCACTAATTATTATAATGTAGCAGAAACTCCAAGCTCAATTATCCATATAAACTACTGATGAGAAGACTTTGCATTGTCGCAGAAGTGTAGCCACTCAGATGGACAGTATGTGAATCTGGATTGCTGGTGATGCGTATTGTTGTGCACTCAACCTCCTAACCACTATATTGACACGAGATGAAATTTGTTATTTGAAATAGTGCACATTGATATTGTATGAACACATGAACAAACAAGTTCCATTTGTGTGCAGCACATGAAATAAAAGTGCAACCAGAAATATGACAAACTGCATACAGAAATACATATAAATTCGAAACGATCAATCAATATATTAGAAAGATCGATTTACCAATCCCGTCTATCTATCTAATGATGGGTTGTAGGACAAGGTTAAATTCGCGTGTGTTTGTCACACACTCTACTGGCATGATTGTTATGAATGATAGATTTGGAGGATGGTGGACACATGCGAATCACATTATTTTGTCTTTGCAGTAATACACACTGAACATAATGTTGTTGATGATGTGGTAGCCTAAAATAATCAATACATGAATTTCGAGTAAACAACATATCATGCAATTTGATGTTTAGCTGAATAATGAATATGATGTGTGGACGAAATGTTGTACGAAGAATAGAAGCATCACATATATTGACAATATTAATACTGTGAATGTTTGATTGAACAGTCAAACATGAGACACATGGAAGTGACAGTTGAAGCATGTGACCAAGATGAGATTACTGAACATGATAGTGAGACTTCTACTGTGTTGTTTCCAGGTCGGATGTGTGCGAATTCTCAACTGAAATCGAATGAGCTATGTTTGTAGGATTTAATTTGTCCTACAGATATACTACTAGAACTGTAAACGCGATACTGGCGAGCACAGAGTCTATGTGAGAGCTATGGTCAGAACAAGGACAACTTTGATTTAAACTTTATCCCTTTCTGAACGTAAGAATAATTCGATTAGTACAATAATTAAGGGAATTACAGTCATGAGGTTGTGGTGGACGAAAAAGTATAATAACCAAAAATTAGCAACAAAGTTATTACGTCCAAAAGTTAATGTAACAATAACAATTTATAAATTAGTAACACAAAATAAAAGTTCAGGGACGTTACTTAAATCAGCTAGTTGTCGCGTATTCCGTTGAGTTTTGGTACCAAAATCCACAATTATAAATGAGTAATAACTCCGATGAGGTAAATGTGAACAACCACAAGTGTGTCACCTTATTTTAGTATCACAACGGAAAGCGTGTTCATGGTCATTTACTAAAACAACAGGTACAATCAGTGAAAGATTGACAAAATAAATACAAATAATATTAAAAACTATTTACAAAATAAGCTTGTCAGGCCTATCTCCACAAGGTGAAACGCACAAACATACCACCCAGTAATGCGTGTCTTATCGAAATGAATAAAAATGATGAGTCACACTAACACTATAGGATAATAATGGCGTTCAATTGGTAGGTCACATGCAAGAGGGATAGTTGACAGACACATCAGACCAGATTAACGTAGTAGGAGTTTAAACAAACATTGGATTGGTTCTTTATGAACATAATGAACAGATTCCACACCTAGCAATTGTTTGTATGACTTCTCTCTTCTCTCTGGTCATCATCAAATTACTTTCAATTTTATTCTTCCATTTTCAAGTCTATTTCAACTAAAACTGTCTAGGTCAAATATCAATGATTAATTCTTATTTTACTCCTGTTGTAACGAAGTCACTAGTTGTAACTGGTGATTATTCATTCGTCCACTGCGTTTCAATTGCAAATTGCCTTCGTTGTTTTTGGATAAGTATTTCAACCTCATGTAGTTGATGTGTAGAGATGAATTTCTTGAACACACTGTCATTACATGTTTGTCCCTGTTCAAAGAAATAACTTTGTTGTATTTTTTTTTAAACTGACAGCCTACATTACGGTATTATTGAGGAACCGACAAAGTAAATTCAGTGTTACGTATACCACCATTACAATTTTTTACATATTATTTTATTCATATTCAAATGTAATGAGTTGATTTTCCTATAAGTTTTCTCAGATTGTTCAATTTCTTTTCCTGATAAAAATCTCAACAACAACAACAAGAAAAACAGACTAATTTTCTATTTATTTTTTCGAAAATTTCTATTTAACACAGTTTCGTGATGAATAGATTTTTAAAATGTTCATTTGACATTAACGATATAATTCCAGTTGTGCTAAGCTTTGATTAAACATATGTAGTGACTTACTTTTATTACGAGAACATGATTGATTTAATGAAAACAATCATTATTATAACCAACTGTACCAGTGCTTGTCTTGATGTGTTTTTGTTTAACTGTGCTAATTACAGCCATTTTGTGCTTCCACAGCTTCAATCATTGTTTCGCGGTTTTTGGCTTTGTTCGCACGTACTCCGTTCCCTTGCTTTCGCTTGTACCATTTCTTGGCACGATCTTGATATTCATTCGATACCTCGGAATCGCCAATTGAATAAACTTGGTTCTAATCCGCCTTCTGATTTGTTTGACACGTGTTTTCTTGGAAGCGGTGTTAATAGTCAACTGGGACTCGACGCCACGCTACACATGGTTCAATAACATGAAATATGTTTCTCATTACCTTGTCTTCTTATTCAGTAATTCAATGAATAATGAAAAATCAATTTCTTACAAACGAACAAACAACAAATTACCGATCGATAATACATAAATCACATAGAAGATGAATGATGGTGAGCGAATAGGACTGACAAGTTTTGATTATTTTATTCTTCTAGTTACCAATATACGATTTGATGTGAGCTGCTACAACGAGAAAATCGTGTGATCATTTCTATATGTTCACCCTCCCAATCAATCCTACAAAACACTCACACCAATTGAGTGTGTGACAGACACACACGTGAATTAAGCCTTGTTCTCCAATCCATCATTAGATATATGGGATTATTAAATCGGTCAAATTGATAGCAGATTAAATTGAAAAAGTGTCTGCTTTCGAGAATAACACTGAGGAGATATGTGGTTAACAAGTAGTGAACAAGTAGTGGAAAATAGTTGGTATTATAACTGGCAGAGTACAGTAAGTACATCAGCAGTAATGCAAAAATGATTTGTAACTGAATGGATGAATAAATTTAGCACAAAAATCAAGAGGCACTATCCAATCAGTTGGTCCACAAAATAAGTGTTTACAGTGAGGATATACGGATAATGTCGATTCACCTGTTACATGGAATTTTCAAAGACAGAATTGAGCACTCGATTGGTCCTACACTATCATTTATATGATAGTGACAAAAACTAGTTCTTCACAAATATTTTAAATATATTGGGCAGTGCACAAATGCATTTTGATTGCTCGCTATTTGCGAAATTTCTATTTGGAACAAAATCCGACAAAACCATATTCTCGATTCTAATTGACTCGTCTCTATACTATACATTTACCGCTCTAGTTCTTCTTCAATCACATTCCACAATCTTACCACTGTGATTATACTGACCTTGGATGAGTCATATCTTTGTTTAATATGTGGACAAATTAATCGATAGGGATACAGCTACAGCTATTTCTCACCTCTTATTTATTTGATGTGTCTGTTGTATGAGTCCACTGTGTGTTTGTTTTCTCAGACTGGCTGAGGTTATTTACAATCGGTGTTGACCTTGTGCTTGTGGTTTATCCAGTGTATTTTGTGTGAACTCAATGTATACCAAGCTTACCGATCGATCATTGACAGTTTGTAGACAAGTCACACTTTTACGTCAGACATAAATAAGAGAATTAGTCATCTTCTTCACATCAGATGAATGTTTCAACAAATATATTTTCAAAGTGATTGTGATGGCAGTTAGTTGATAAAACTGAATTATCTTGTTGCCAAATATCATTCAGTTAAGCGTACTTTGTGTTAGATACTGTGCAAACAACAACTTAGGTTAGCTCCTGACTAATTCAGTCGTTATAATTGGACATTTGATTTAGAACACATAGAGCAGTGTATGCGCAATACCGAGTTGTATGTATTAATTTCTTTTGCAAATACTTGCACTGTGGTGAGCGTCCACGGGAGATTTGCAAAGACGAATACCGGTATGATTTAGTGGTCATGTGACTGATCACATTGAAATTGAAGAATTGAAGAAGCTTACTAACTTCCTGTATGCATTTGTGGACAAACTATATCATCTGATACATCCATGTTCATATTGTGCTTCTTAACGATTTTTCAAATTACAAATAGAAGTTATGTGCTTAAATGATTTTTTTGTGTTTTCATTTTGTAGTGGTAAATGAATCCCCAAAATCTATAGCTCTGTAAGTCTTCGACATTTCAATGTGACCACATTAGTTAAAATGGACTGACCTAATTGGAGGCGCTTGGTCACGCATCCGCACCAGATCACGAGTGGGAACGCCGTTCTCAACACTTCCTGCAAGTGCTAGCTAGTTTAGATCAGTCACTTCCCGATATATTTATAAATATATCTTCGAACATCCTCGCTTCTGACATTTGATTTCATTGGGTGGGCACGATTGAATGATAGAGGGTGTTACTGGTTAAAGTGTTTTCAAAATGCAAATACTTGTGGCATCTTCATTGGTGAACCGACGTTATCTTGTACACCAACTCGCAAACTGTGAATCTGCTCCGATTTGGAACTTCGTATATCATTGCTTTATTTTAATTTTTATGTATTGTAATATAGTTTCCCGTCATTCATTCCTGCACATCACATTCGCTATGACAGAACCGACTACTAAGGTACTCAAGATCAATATTATGACACCGACCTCAATTCAGCTAATGCCATGCTGACCGGACAACGTCGAAGCCTGGTTGTGCTACGCAGAGACTGACTTCTACGGCACAGCGTGACTGATCCATGTGCACAATTCCTCGCAGCAGTGGAGGCACTACCACAGGAATTCAACAGATTCGTCACACCTAGTATGCTTACTTGTGATATTTCGGAAACTTACGAAACTCCCAAGCGGTCTATTGTGAAATGCGGAGATCTAACCGGTCGACAAGTGTTAGATCAACTCCTCAACAACATCGATCTGCAACATGGCTCAGCAATGAACATGTTGTTACGAATGCGAGAGGTAATTGGTTAAAGGACTTTTGATGGTGGCCTGTTTAGAAAACTTTCCTTGTCTAAACTTCCTCAACAGATGCATGCAGTGCTTGTCCCGTTTCACAAGAAAACCGTAGATGAGCTGGCTTCATCTGCCGACCATATTATAGAGATCAACAAGTCTTCTAACGCCGAGTATTTCGCAGTCAAAGAAAAACCTCAAACGACACGAATTGAAACTACGGAAATTTGTCATACACTGACACGTTACCTTCGTATTGTCAATGACCGTAAACGATCACAAATTCGTCGAAAGTGTTTTTCACGAAAACGATCTGTTTCCAGACCACGAGAGACAGACAACCCTGACTCGTGCAGGTGCTGGTGCTGGTGTCATAATCAGTTGAGAAATCTTCTCGAAATTGCAGAAAACCGTGCAATTCTAGGGACTCCGAACAGACCGACACGAAATACACTTCGGGAAACTTCCCAGACAGCACGCGTCAACGGTAACCGTAACCGACGAACGCAGCCTTCTGTTATGCATCACTGATATGACTATGAATGTTCGCCACCTCGTCGACACTAGCGCAGAATTTAGCGTACTTCCAGCAAATTCCAACGATT